AAAATCATATACAAGTTTCGACTTATATTAGAAAAAAATCCAAATGCAATTTGAATAATAGTTTAAGGTGGGTCGCTGCCTCTTGAGTATGTTTAGTTGCCAATTTTCAGGTCACGAACGAAAGGGGAAGGTTGAAGGTTTGTAATGATTTTTATATCAAATCAAATAAATCCTGTTTGTTACCGTGATGTGTCTTTTCCTCTTTGATTTACGAGATTTGAACATCGTTTAACCACTGTCTCTATAATTTACATGTGTGGTAGGTTTAGGTTTTTGTCAGGGCAATTTTTTAAATCATTGTCTAGTGTATCGAAGTATATGTTGTTCTTACCAATTACTAATATGGTATACGTTTAACATTGCTTCATATCGTTTAAAAATGTGCAAAATACTAATATAATACTTTATAAATTTTATGCAGTCGAAGTGCTTTTCAGAAATTACATTCATCAGGAAATCTCAAAGCCAATAAATTGAAAGCTAAGTACCCAAACAATTTCCAGCTATATGACAAAAGGAACCTTTTTAAAATAATAGCCCATCTAATATCAACTTTGCCTGAGTGATTTCTAAATTTATAAACGGAGAATTTAAGAAAAGGTTTCATGTTATAAATATGTCATTACCGAGGCACTGTTAATGTTTTCATTTCTTAAATAATATTGAAGGGTAACACAAATACAAATAACCGAAATTTCTTTGGTACACCACATGCGCATTTCAAAAATTGAGTGTCGGCAATTTGAAAATATAAAACGTTGTTGAGCAGGTATTGATTCTCATTCATCAACGAGTAGCATTAAAAGGCCCAACTGAATCTTTGATTGGAATCATTTTACAACACAGAATGCATATAGTTGCTTACGGTAATAAGCCAGGCTTCACTTGAAGCTGCCCGACCCTTCATGTGAATCTCCCCTCTATGTCAGTGATCAGTAAAAATGCATTAACAAAAATATCGAACTCCATGATAAATTCAAACTGGGAAATCCATACAAACTAACAAAAGTGGGCTTTATAGCTACTTTATAGCTACTTTAGCCCCCCACTTGTTTGACAGTTGTTTATAATAAGCAATATACATATTTTGCGTTAATTGCAATACAAAATACACGAAAAAGAATCTTCAATGCGTTGCATAATATATCAATAAGTTTATTTTCAGATTGTAACAAAGACAACAAAACAATTAATCCGCCTGTGGCCTTCTACATCGACATATACATGTAAGCTAACACAATTTTAAAAGACAATAATACGTAATACACTGAATATAAGAGTACATGTATAGTACAAGTAGAGTATGATTATAGAAAAAGCATAACATTATAAGATATCTACTAAAAGTTCTATTCCTGCGTTTCTAAATGACAAGTTTGACAATTTATCTTAAAAACGTTTACACTTTTACTTTCTTTCAAAGTTAAAGGCATGGAGTTCCACAACAAGGTTCCAGAAAACATATGGTTCTTTTACAAACATTGGTTCCATATCGTCGAATTGGAAGATGATCTTAATGCGTAGTTTTTAACATTTGAACAACTTGGAAATAGTTCAGATAAATATTTTTTTTTATATAATCACTTCGTTTGGTTTATTATAAATAGTAAGTCATCCTAACTCTTTGAACATCAAGATTATTTTTTATCTTTACTCTACATACATATATATTAACCATGTAATCCTCGGTCATTACAACTAAACATAAAAAGAAAACAACTTTTGATGTAACTTAGTTCAAGTAAGGCAATAAGATACTTACACATAAAAAAAATAAGCTCCAATAAAAAAAAACAAAGTGAAGTAATTTTCTTTAAAAAGCATAACTAAACTATTAAATAACAGATTATATTTATAATGTTGCAATCATTAAACGTAAAGAAAAATTTTCAGAAAATATTTTCCTATTTTCATTTTCACTTTGTTATATTACCTTAATTTGAAAAAAAACTACACACTATAACCAATATATCAAGACTTTAAAACAAAAATCAGAACGCAACTACAAATATGCTTTTAGCTTACATGATAGATATAATCTGAAAGTTGACTCAAATATTTTTATAAATAAATAATTTTCCCTCTCCTTGTAATTGTCATGTTATAATCTCCCTTACTGAAGCAATGTTGATATTGCTGCATCATTGAGGTCTATAAGTGGACCCTTAGATGTTTATTCTTTTCGTATATCTTTAATGAAATTTCGGGTATACTACAATAGTAAGCATTCTTCATTTGCACATTGCAACGTCAACGACTCTCTCATTTAAGAGAAATTGAGTTTATTTATGAAATGGTTGACACCACTTCGCTTGTCATTTGTGTATGTACAATACGATTGAACATTATGATTTTGTAAAATATGTCCATCTAGTTATTGGTCGAACTATGTTTGTTGTTTTGTTTTGTTTTGTTTTGTTTGTTTTTTTTGTTTTGTTTTTTGTTTTTTTGTTTTTGTTTTTTTTGTTTTGTTTTGTTTTGTTTTGTTTTTGTTTTGTTTTTTTGTTTTTTGTTTTATGTTTTCTCTCTATTAGGATAAATGATGTCATAATATCTTGAAAATCGTTATCTGCATATTTAATTTCAAATGTTATCGTTTCAATTATTACAATAAAAAGAACTACAAACACTACTACTATATCCTCTTTAAGTGAATGGACAATTTTTGTGCATAAAAGGAAGTCTGCTAGAGACCTGATTTGTGTTAAAGACATAGTCACTAACGCTTTGACATACTATCATGGGATTCATGCGAGTGACATGCATATTAGGTATTTTTATACCTCAGTATGTTTTTTTTTCTATATAAAAAGAATGAAATATTTGTGCTATTTCATTCCACAGACTTTTTGCCAGTCAATAGTTTCAAAAACTATTACCCCGGTCAATAGTTTTATAAACATATTTCCCGTACTTTTTCATACTAATTTTTCATCAAGTTGGACAACAATGACGTCATCGACTATTCTGCTTGGATTTGTGCGCTTGGCAACGTTAAACTCTGAAATATCGTAAACGTTATAATCTGTATGTATCTGTCGTAATTTCAAATTAATATATTACTTACCAGAAGCAATTGAAAAAGAAAATCTACGCGACATATTTTAAGAACTAAAACATGTAATGTATGGTGTTGGTCTGTCGTCGTCTTCATAATCGGGGATTGCTTTGGTGTACGGTAAAATATTTTAGCTAATGTTTATCATATGTACGGCAATTTTTACACAAGGATTCCTGGTCTTGATTACAGTATATAGATTATTGACAAATACCACACAGGGAAAAAAAAACCTGATAGTTCATCTTGTACATGTCTATGTGATCATTTTTTTTCAAGTGGTGTATGTAGTCTTTTTAGAAAGTTGTTTTGTTCGGTATAATAAAACACTTAATAACTGGTTATGAGGGTAATAGCAAGTTTGTTGTCCCTTTGAAACTAACTATTGACCTCGGCTTCGCCTCGAGCAATAGTTGGTATCTCAGGGACAACAAACTTGCTATTACCCTCATACCCAGTCAATAAGTGTATACTGTTACCCGCAATATTATCCTAAATACTTTGGCTTCGTAAAATTTTCAAAAATGTATTTTAAAGTCAGACAAATTGTAATTTTTTTTCAATCCGTCGTACAAGTATATAAGATATAAAACAAAACATGTGGGCGCATCTACAAGCAACTGAGAAAATGAAAAATTGTCGGAAGTCCCTACTTTCATATTTACTAAAATGACAATAATGACTTGTAAATATTTACTTATTCTGCCGAATATACAGCTTCGCCGGAATAGGGTTTGGTCTTCTATAAGCAAAAATTCTATAAATTAATGTGATCTCTCGCTGCATATGTTATAAGTTGAATTGTTTTTCTAATTATTTCACTCATAAGTACTTAAGTGTGATTAAATTAGACATCTTGTATTAGTTTCACTAATCAGTAAAGTTCATTCATTAAACAGTTCAGTAGTCATTAATTCTCCCTTGTAGAAATAAGATAAATACGAGAGTAAATATGATATCAAATTATCAGTTCTAACAGGTACTTAGAGGTGACCTAAAAGAAAAAAAATGTATGGTCTCTGTCAGACAATTCAGACAATGTGTATCAAAGGTTTTGATACAATGAAATGAATCACATCATTAAGTTTATTGTTACTAAACCATCGGTGTTTCTTGCAGCAGTATTGATAAACAGACTTCTCTATTTGAACTGTACACGTATACCTAACAACCAAATTATTTTCATTTACCTGTGTATAAAATAATTGCAAATGGCTGATATTATTGTTCAAGCATATTGTTTTTCTTAAATTGTTTAACATTTCACAGCGGAATAACATGTTACTTTAATTATTCTTCCCTTATTTTATTTATTTTGTATTTACATTGTATCATACATCAAATTTATTTGTTCAGTGTATGTTCACTGGTCTTAATATGTCTTTTGATTGAGTTAATCCATTTCATTTGATATTTTATAGTGTGTCTTTCTATGCTGTTATGTTACACTATTGATTCAGATAAGGGTGACGTTTGGTACCATTAAAACGTTTAAACCCGCTGCAATTGTTTGCACCTGTCCTAAGTCAGGAATCTGATGTTCAGTAGTTTGTTGATGTGGTTCATAAGTGTTTCTCGTTTCTCGTTTTTTATGTAGATTAGACCGTTGGTTTTCCCGTTTGAATTGTTTTACACTAGTAATTTTTGGGGCCCTTTATAGCTTGCTGTTGCGTGTGAGCCAAGGTTCTGTGTTGAAGACCGTACTTTGACCTATAATGGTTTACTTTTATAAATTTTGACTAGGATGGAGAGTTGTCGCATTGGCACTCATACCACATCTTCTTATATCTATTCATTTCCCGATTGACTTAGGAACAAATCGAATTACTGAATGCTTTTGGATTGTTATAAAGGGACTCTTTACCTAAGCGTTAACTTTCAGATTTAACTTCCTGTTGTTGCAATGGTTAGTCGCAAGTAACATGACAACTTTTTACTCAGGTTTTAACTTTTTTTATTCTATCAATTAGATTCATTACGTAGTCTACACAAGCATTAATGTATCATGATTTATTTAATCTAAAACAAGCTACAAGTTCAGATTATACAAATGTAGATTCAATAAATTTCATTCTTTGTTAAGATCAAGGTCAATTGGCAGCGTTGTGTTGAGGTCTTTCTATTCATTTAGTTCCTAATAAATGCTTAAACTTGTTTTGTTCTTATCTTCTACCAATAGTCATGTTGTTTTTCATTATATGGGTTGATCGAAATGTCTTCTTTAGAAGACAGCACCTCTGTGTTGACATGGGTTATCATTGATATAGTCATAATAGAAATTAACTGTTTACGAAACTTTGAATTTTTCGAAAAACTAAGGATTTTCAACCCCAGCTACCCAAGGAATAGACTACCTTAACTGTATTTGGCAAAACCTTTCGGAACTTTGGGTCTTTAATGCTCTTCAATTTTAAGCGTCACTGATGAGTCTTTTGTAGACGAAAAGCGCGGCACACACTTTTAATCCTGGTATATATGATGAGTTTATTCAGTTGAGAGTAGTTGAATTTATATGTGTAATGCTTTGAGATCTTGATTAAAACTGGTACATGGTGGTAAAAATGGCCTTATTTTGAGATATTTTATACAACACTCGTGTTTTTGTGATTAATTTCTGATAAGAACAATGATATAAATTTCTTTCAGTTGTCTAGTTCTCGTTTCATTTATTGCCAGTACTTGAGTTACTTCATCATTGATATTATAAATATTTGGCATACACATTGAATGTAGCTTTGTGTCGTTCTATTTCAAATTCAAATTAATTGTAATCTAGAAATTGACTCATGCTTGGTGGGAAATCTTATAAATGTTCTTTAACTAATATAACTTGTTCAGATAACGTATACTAGTAATTCATTTGTGTTAGAGTTTCAACCAAAGTACAGTTTGTTCATTCTTGTAGTTCACATGACATCACAATAAAAATCACTTTCATGTTGATATGGTTTGCGTTTGTGAGCATTATGTTTTATCGAATCAGCACATCTTGATAACTTGGAGTCTGACAGTGTGCAGTTCTAAAACTAAATTTTCTAATATTATTTAATATAGCGACAGTTCATATACATGATAGCCTGTCTATACTGAGGTTGTGAGGTCGAGTTACAAACTGTGTATGATGAGCAGTTGATATTTGTTTTAGTCATCTGCTGCTTATCTTTCGGTAGTTGTTTTTCATTGTTATTGTTTTGTACGACCAATAAATAATTGCTGTTTTCATCTACACTACAATCTGATTTGTGAAAACCAAAAAGAGGGGATATCAGTATCAACATCAGTTTTATATGTTTATAAATGTTCAGTTTCAGTTTTAGTTGTTGCTGAATATTGACTCTAGGTTTGATTTGTTGCTGTATATTGACTCTAGGTTTGATTTGTTGCTGAATATTGACTCTAGGTTTGATTTGTCGCTGAATATTGACTCTAGGTTTGATTTGTTGCTGAATATTGACTCTAGGTTTGATTTGTTGCTGAATATTGACTCTAGGTTTGATTTGTCGCTGAATATTGACTCTAGGTTTGATTTGTTCCTGAATATTGACTCTAGGTTTGATTTGTTCCTGAATATTGACTCTAGGTTTGATTTGTTGCTGAATATTGACTCTAGGTTTGATTTGTCGCTGAATATTGACTCTCGGTTTGATTTGTTCCCGAATATTGACTCTAGGTTTGATTTGTTGCTGAATATTGACTCTAGGTTTGATTTGTTCCTGAATATTGACTCTAGGTTTGATTTGTTGCTGTATATTGACTCTAGGTTTGATTTGTTGCTGAATATTGACTCTAGGTGTGATTTGTTGCTGAATATTGACTCTAGGTTTGATTTGTTGCTGAATATTGACTCTAGGTTTGATTTGTCGCTAATATTGACTCTAGGTTTGATTTGTTCCTGAATATTGACTCTAGGTTTGATTTGTTGCTGTATATTGACTCTGGGTTTGATTTGTTGCTGAATATTGACTCTAGGTGTGATTTGTTGCTGAATATTGACTCTAGGTTTGATTTGTTGCTGTATATTGACTCTAGGTTTGATTTGTTCCTGAATATTGACTCTAGGTTTGATTTGTTGCTGAATATTGACTCTATGTTTGATTTGTTGCTGTATATTGACTCTATGTTTGATCTGTTGCTGTATATTCAGTTTCATCCTTAATTGTATCTGTACATTAATTTCGTTTCATTTGTTACTGTATATTCAGCTCCGTTCTCTTTTTCTCTGCAAATTAAGTTTCAGTCTCATTTATTACTGTATATACAGTTTCAGTCTTATTTGTTGCTCTATATTCAGTTTCAGTCTCACTTGTTGATATACCAGTATATACAGTTTTAGTCTCATTTATTATGGTACATTCAGTTTCTTTCTCATTTTGTTTGCTGTATATTCAGCTTCAGTCTCATTCGCTACTGCATATTCAGTTTTAGTCTCATGGGATACTGCATATTCATTTCTGTTCTCATTTGTTGCTGTATGTTCAATTTCAGTCTCATTTGTTGCTGTATATTAAGTTTCAGTCTCATTTCTTGCAATATATTCAGTTTCAGTCTCATTAACTATTGTTTATTCAGTTTCAGTCTCATTAATTACTGTATATTCAGTTTTCAGTCTCATTTGTTGCTACATATTCAGTTTCAGTCTCTATTTGTCTGTATATTCACTACACGGTTCTCATTTTTTTCTTCTGTACTTTCTGTTTTAGTTTGACTTGTTGCTGAATATTCAGTTTCAGTATATTTAGATTCAGTCTCAATTATAGCTGTATATTTATTTTCGTTTCATTTGTTACTGCTTATTCAGTCTCAGTCTCATTTGTTGCTGTAGTTCAGTTTCTGTTTCATTTGTTGCGATAAATTTAGTATCCATTTCATTTATTTCTATATATTCATTTCCTTTTCATTGGTTGCTCTATATTCAGTTGTAGTTTGATTTGTTGCTCTATATTCAGTTGTAGTTTGATTTGTTGCTGTATATTCAGTTTCAGTCTCAATTATAGCTGTATATTCATTTCCGTTTCATTTGTTGCTTTATATTAAGTTTTAATTTGATTTGTTGCTGTAATTAGTTTCAGTCTCAATTATAGCTGTATATTTATTTTCGTTTCATTTGTTGTTATATATTTAGTTTCAGTTACATTGTTATTGTCAGTGTGAGATTAATTTTAATCCTGTGATATTTCTGAAATTATAACTGAATATTTTCATACAAATATGATAACCACATATGCATCAAAGTTTATGCCAGTTTTTCTTGTGTACTTTTAACCAGTGATTCATCTGTTAACTTATTGCAGCTAGTGGATCACTAAGTTTCTAGGAAATAAACTCTAGATAGAACTTAATCGAAAGTTCCGAGTGTACCCTTCTGAAAGTAAGATGTTTATCTTTCGTAGATTCAGCTATTATAGGAAATTATAGTTCATTTAGTTTCTGAGAATTAAACTCGGATATAAGACTTGAACCAAGTAAACAATCGTTAATGTTTGTAAGTATTACTTCTTTTGGTTGGAACCATTATTCTCCTTTAGAAACATCCTTTTACCAGGTGATATGATTTGAATAAAATAAGTATATCTACAACTGATTTTACGACACTTAAAAACGTTAACGCAAGTGAACTTTGAATGATTAATTGTGTTCTTGGTGACTCATGATGAATGGTACAAGCATCTTCGTCTACTTTGAGAAGAACTAAAACGTACTGATTGTAACTGTTTTTCGTTCATTTGATACTCTTCTAATTACATCTGGATTCAAATGCTAATAGTATCGCCTTCAAATTAACATCGTCAAACTCGCTATTGTTCTCTGTCTTATTATATTCTGCTTAGTTAGAGGTTTATAGTCTTGATAATTCTAAGTACAGTCCATTAAAATAACTGCACTCATTGAATTTTGAAAAATTCGTGTAATATACTTTCCATCATTGCAAAAAGATTTTCACATGCCATTTTCATATCTTCTGTTATTGGTGAAGTTTTCACAGCATCCTTAGCCTGGATAAGAATTTCAGGACACGAAGTCATATTACCCGTCTGAGTCATGTATGAAAATCTCAGATAATACATCATTATATCTGATGGAATGTGACAAAAATTAACTTCTCTTCCATTAGTGCCTTCGATGGGAATCAAGACACTTTCCTCTGGCACTAACACTGGCTGCTTACTAAGATGTCTCATCTTTGTTATAAAAAGACGTCTCTCCGTTCTAAGCAAAGTCTTGTAAATACGCAAATACTCCAGCGAGTACTCCTGTATCCCAGTATCCACCAAGAAGGTTTCATCCATCAACGATTCGATATGTTCCAGTACAATAGAACAAAATCTGTGTTGTCCAGATTGTAACAGACGAAACCCTAACAGTATCCAACCAGATACGGAATCTGTTTTTGTGCCCATGATAGAAAGGAAGTTCATTGAACGAATATTCATATACGATGTCTTGTTGCTTACATCTTTCTGAGGTTGGACGAGTTGTGAAAGTATCTGACACTGTTGTAACAGTTGGTAACATATCAGACTTTGAAGGAAAGGTTTGTTGGTATTTGATACAATCTTCAGCACTCCACGTAGCAGAAAATGTTTGAGTTCCACAGATGTACATTCAACTTGAATGAAAGGAAACATAGTAAAAATTTGCAAGTCTGGATAACTTTTACATAATAAAGTTGGACTCTCTGTTCCCCACGTATAATTGTCTAGATGGAAACAATACTGTTTTAAAACTGTGTTCCAGAGATCTTTTTCAGTTGGTATCCATTCTTGAATTTCTGATTTTAAATCCAAAATCGTTTGATTTTTCTCGATTATATTTACTTCTGGGATAAAGAAGTCTGGCATATTTCCCGATGATATACAATAAGCTAACTTACTGAAGCAAGAATGGAAATTTGCGAGAAAATTACTACTTGCCCATGATTCTGTGGATTCCTCTATTACCCAAAACATAACTGTTTTAATTACATACGATAGGGAAACTACGTTTGTTGTTGAAAAATCTTTTGCCAACTTTTGTTTGATATAAATTTTTAAGAGCACATATGTCAGTAATTGAACATGACTAAAGGATCTTACAATAATTTTGGAAGCAAGAACAAATGTCAACTGCCACAATATTTCGCAATCTGGTGAGTCTGAATATCCTTTCGGAACTAATAATACGCATTCATTTTTTATCGTGAACACAAGATCTTCTGGCAACCATTCATTATTTTTCCTCGGAAAGGACGCCAATAATTCATTTGCCTGACATGGTCTTAAAGCATAAGTTAAGCTTAATGCACATTCAGACTCGTCTGATGAGTTAGGTGTACATATATGAGCTTCTTCAAACAGATTTAATTTAAACAAATGACTAGACAAATATAATGTTGAGCGTTTCCTTTTCACGCATTTGGATATCAACTCAAACTGCAAACCAGAATGTACTTTTAAATAGACATAACCTGGATAAGCGGTATTTGTGTCTACAATAAGAATACATCCTGCTCCTGATAACATTGTTTTTGGAATTTCAAATGCTATATCAATCCATTTTAATATAAAAATTACATGTATACCATCTTCGGGATCATATATTCCTTCGCCAACACTACCGACAATAACACTTCGTTTATCGATAAAGTTGTCACTTATAAAATCGCGGAAATCACAAAATATTCTTGTCATTGCTGCCTCTTTTTTACTTAATTTCTTTGAGAGAATACTATAAACAGAACCAAAGTAAAACATCATTTTTGACACAATAGTGTTTTCCGTTGACGCTTTCTTAACAGAGATATCTGATTTATGTTTAAGTGGTTCTTTTGTTTCTTCACTGTCAAGAAAAGAATCTGGATGGAAAACATTATCCGTATCAAATGCATTGTAAACGATTGTATCAAGTTGACAATCAACTTCTATATCATTTGCAGTATTGATTGACGGATTCGACAACATATTTGGTGAATTTTGCATTTTTCTTTCGAGTCAGATTGAGAATTCGCAATACATATACTTGTATGCGGAAGGGACTTTCCGATTGAATTTTCCTCGGAGTTCAGTATTTTTGTGATTTTACTTCTTTTTTTTTTGTATCTATTCAGTGACCAGCTCAGTTTAACATAACCTTTTTCATTAATCTATGTTGCTGATTGTTCGAATGACTTGTTATCCTTTTTGAAAATCACGTGACAAAGAAATGAAACAGAACATTTGCATGGACATCTCCAAAAAGGAATCGTCTTCTATTGGCTGAAATGAAAATTGCATATAAAGAAGATTCAATGTGAAACAGAGAACTTTACAAGAATATACATATTTCTTTAAGGATTCTTCAAACATTACTTTTAATGAAACCGGTCAATAAAAAGACACTGATTTTTTTTTAAATGACCTTGTCTGTGAATCTTTGCAAAACGCCATACAGTTTATATTTTTCATAAAATGAACAATACAGTCGTGATACGGATCTAAATATACTCAAACATTAATTTTATGCAATAACAAAATCGGTAGAAGAAAAATATTCTAGAAGTAACAGGTATGTGATAAGGTTCAACTGTAATCAGTCATTTTCTTCTATGATATTCTTTCTTGTATTTTTCATAAATTACGAGCAAACAACAATGTAAAAATTGTTATTCTCGGTCAAAGCCAAAGAAATGTCGATCTCTTTGAGACACAATAACTACAGTCTAAACATTCTAGCGTCTCTATCAAATAATAGTATGAAACATACAAAAACATCGTCTGATAATATATATTTTACAAAAAAAGGTCGGTGACGAGTTCCGCTCTTCTTCCAGTTTCCAGAGTTCGTGCAAATAAATTTTATATTTTCTGACAGTCATATATTTAAATTGTTTATAAATTCTTCCCTTGCGAAACCAAGAAAAATCCATGTAGATCGCGATAAACAAAAACAGAAATGATATCTGTCTATTGAGCTTGTCTTATATATATAGTATCGACAGCAACCGTCATTTTACATCAAATTAATGAAGGAGTCATTAGCCTTTTCGACGATTTTTTAAAAATTATTTCCATGTGTTCAAGCCA